CCGAGGAGGAGGAGGAGGAGGAGGAGGAGGCGTCCATGTTGCCTTCCGATGCTGGGGAGGATGATGGAGTGGGGGAGAAGAAGCCAGCACCATGCCAACACTTTTTTGTGCCGAACCCTTCTAGCGTCACCTCCGAGATCCGGGGTTTCTCTTTGTATCGCGATCTAACATTATCAAAAAGCCCTCGGCGCACCGGCTATCGTAGCCGGCAAGAGCGGATGTACAGACTGCAGCGTCTGCACTCCCTACCCGGGTGTGGGAAAGTTGCGGCTTGCTTGCGAACCACCTCTTGCATCACATTCTTCGCACCATGCCGGGCCTTCAAGCAGCAACGGTGTCTCACCTCGACGAGACGTCCGTCACTTCGCGCAGTGCCGTGTACCGCGGTGAGATCGACACGACATGGTGCATCGGCTCGGTGCCGAACGGCGGCTACTCGCTCTCGATCATCCTCAATGCGGTGCTTGCCTTTATGCGCACGCCCGAAGTGACGGCGACCAACATCAAGGGCATCGCGCACAACGATCCGCTCCTCCTCTCGGCGACGTACATCCAGGCGGTCACGTGGACGCCGTATGAAGTACGTCTGCAGGTGCTCAAACGCGGCAAGAGTCTGAGCAATCTGCAGGCGGATCTGTACCAGGATGGAGTGATGAGGATCACGACTCAGGTGCTGGTGACCGACTTTGAAACGCAAAAGGCTGCGGCGGAAAAGATGAAGCTAAAGGGAGGCGAGCATGATCCTGCAAAGAACGGATATACGATTACGGATAAGAGTCAGTGGGCGCCCGAGTTTCCACTCAGTGCGCCCGAAAAGTGCCATCCACCAAGGCCGTTTGGCAACAAGGCAGAGAGCGGCAAGACGTTCGCGTTTGGAGAGCTCATCACCGTATCCGCCGATCCCAAACACATCCACTCCACCAAAACCTCCGACGTCCTCTCGGCCGGAGCGTATTACGCTCTCACCCCCCAACCTCGCCTCCAACTCGATGCGGACAAGGTGGCCAACGGAAGAACCTCGGATGGAAAGAATCTCATCCCCTTTTTCGCAGACATGTTCTTGTCCCCACCAATGATGCTTCCCGGTCACCACGATGCTCATTGGTACCCAACCCTCCATCTCACCGTAGAGTTCAAAAGAGCCCTCCCCAAAGAGCCGGTTACCAGAACCGCCACGCTGTCGAGAGGAAGGTTCATGATCAACGGCCAGCACGAATCCGATACCGAACTCTGGTCCCATCCCGACGATCAGCACCTCTTCAACAGCCACAAGCCCACAGAGAGACGCAGCTGGATCTTGGCCGTTGCCAGACAGACCGCGCTCGTGCTGCCGTTCGCCGTCAACCAGAACAAAACAAAGGCAAAGCTCTAGCCCTCGCCTCGAACGAAGAAAATGTTGCATGGGGTAGATCGCATTGCAATATCAGAAGCATGCGAGTAAAAATGGGGAGTGAGTTTTTCGAACAGCCATGGCGGATGTCACATGCTTCCACTTCGTCGGTGAGTGAGAGACTCAGCTGGCGGGAGCACGGCCACGAGCGGCACCACCACGACCGGGCGCAGCGCCACGCGCAGCGCCCCTACCTGCGCCGGCGCTGCCCCTGCCTGCACCGGCACCGGCACTGCCACCGCGAGCCGCACCTGCAGCGCCCGTGGGCTTCCTGCGCTCCTCGACCGTCACAGTCCACTCCTTGCCCACGGCCAGCGAGCCCTTGGCGGCCGCCTTGCGCGCCGCGTCCACTGTGGCAAAGTCGGCAAACGCACACGAGCGCGCCGCATTGATCGTGAGGTCCTTGAGGGGGCCAAACGCCTCGAGCGCCTGGCGCAGCGCCGACTCGCTCACGTGCTCCGCCACCACGTTCTTGATGTACACCGATGCAGAGGCAGCACCTCCGGACGAAGCGCCGTTCGACGCAGGCTTGGCGGCGGGCTTAGCAGCAGCGGCAGCGGGCGTAGGGGCAGGGCGCGAAGAGGAGACGCCCTTGGCTTCGGCAGACACGTTGGAGCCCCAGCGCGTGGCGTCCGAGGCAGCGAGAGTGGCCCACGTCTTGGGCTTGGGCGGGCCAGACGGCTGGGCGGGTGCGGCGGCAGGCGCAGCAGCGGCAGTCTCGGTCTTGGCAGGAGCGGCGGCAGCGGGCGCAGCGGTAAAGGCGCCGGCGGCAGCAGCGTCCTTGACGCCCTTGGGAACAGCGGGAGCAGCTTCAGCCTCGACGGCGGTGACCTTCTTGTCGACGCCGACCTCGTCAGCCGTAGCCGCGGTGGGCTCGGCGGCGGTCGAGGTGGCTACGGCCTCGTCGACGGCAGCGGGCGCGGGGGACTCGGTCGACTCGGCCGGTTTAGCGGGAGCGGCTGCCTCGTCGCTCTGAGGAGCCGTCTCGATCGCCTTGGACGCGGGCGCGGGCAGGCTGGGGACGGCGTTGGTTGCGGTGATGTTGGTGATCTCGAGCTGGTGGGGCACGACGACGCCATCCTTGTCGGCCTGGTCGATCTCGTCCTGGATGGCCTCATCGACGGCCTCTGCCTCGGCCTCAATCTCGTCGTCGTCCTTGAGGTAGCGGAAGATGTCGTTGAGCACATAGTATCCGTTGGGCTGTTCGGCGAGGAAGAAGGTCTGTGCAAACTTGCGCCATCCTGCGCCGTTGTTGCTGAGCTCGCCGAGCACCTGGACGAGGATGCCGCCCGAGGCGGAGCTCTGGGTGTCGACGTTGCTCACGAACACCTTGGCGTCGTTGAAGTTGAGGCTGGTGATCTTGTCGTGGATCTGCTGCTGGCCGAAGCACGGCGACGACTCCTCCTGCTCGGTGCCGTGCACCATGGTGGATTTTTTGGTGAAGAAGCAGTGGAGCCGGCTGGGGTTCTGGTTGAGGAAGGTGTAGTACTGCGTGACGAAGAGCCAGCCCACCTCGGACGCCTGCACGGCCGGCTTGGGTGCTTGTGCATTGGCCGACGAGGACGAAGAGGTGGCGGCAGCAGCCGCGTTGCTAGTGGTGACGGCCGACATTTTTGTTGTTGTAACAGCGAAGCCAGACTGAATGCCAATGAAGAAAGGAACCTGACAGAAACAGAAGAACGGAAGGGCGCCGAAAGGAGAGCTGAGATGGTGGTGGTGGTGGTGGTGAGGCGAGTATCGAGGATTTCGCTGCGTTGCGTTGCGGTTGGCGCTGAGCCGAGCCTCGACGGACGGCCGGCCGGGGTGGAGGATCCTGGCTCTGTCGCAGAGCAGTCGGGCCGGCCGACCAATTACGACTCTCGCTCCCTTTGCGCCTTGGCTGTCTCTCACACACACACTCTCCTACGCTGGCTTTTTCTCTCTTCGTTTCATCACGCTGAGCCAGAGCTTGAAGCATTTGTGGCTGCAGCCCTTTGTCATCTCGGCGGGCTTGGCTTGGAAGGAGCAGCCGAGGGGGCATCGGATGGGTGCCGTGGCAACCGGTGCAGCCCAGTGTGTGGCAGCAGCAGCGCCAGGCACCAACCAGGTGATCTTGGGAAATTGGCCGCGCCGCGAATTTGGAAGAAAGCGTCGGAAGCACCGCCGCGCTCCCACGGCTCACGCGGCGTGACCAGATCAAACGACCTCTGACCCGCCGACCAACGAATCAACCGAGCAGCCTACCTTTTTGCCACGGTGAGCAGCCTGAAATCAATACACGCCTTCTCCTCGTCACAGCAGCCAATGGGTCGGCCGCGTGGCTGCCTGACAAGGCTGAGCAGGGGCGCTGATCGGTGTCGAGTGGATGTCGAGGCGAGGCCACCCCCGCATCGCAGATTCTTCCGGTTCAGGGCCGTGCGGTGAAAGGAGTGTTGTTCTCGCTATTTCAAGTGCGCGGTCATGAGGCTCCAGATCACTTTGAAACCTCAATTACAAGCGCTTTGGCTGTGTTTAAAATTGTTTCTTTTTCGCTCTCCATTGTGTGATTGAAGAGATCTCACATGAATCAGGATTTCGCGACTCCACGTTGCTCGGTTGCTGTTTTGGGCGTTGGAGCTGTGCGGGAGGCGTGCCGTCATCGCTTCGTCCGAGCGGATGGTGGATTGTCTCGCGCCTCGGCATGTCCGATCTGCCAAGGCAAGGCAGCCATCCAGCCTTGTCGGTGCCATCCGACCGACCGCCTCCAGTTCGTGCTCAGGGGCAGCTGCTGCTGCTCTCGAGTCAAAAGTGGTGAGTAGGCTAGAGCAAGCCACACTGTGTGACTGCCAAGCCGAGCCCAAAATACGAAAATCAAAAGAACAACACTTTAGCGGCTGGCGTGTGTGTGTGTGTGTGTGTGTGTGTGT